ATTTGACGGATAAGTCGCACAATACGATTGGTGATATTCCACTCCCAGGAAGTCCATCCCTTCGGGAGCTTCTTTGCCGCCTGACCATCCTCCATTCGCATAACCTTCTCGACTCTGGCCTTGACAATAGTGGAGTCGGTGCATAGATAATAGTGCCGATGTAGCGAATGGGGAAAATATTGCATATGTGCGCAGAATACTTGCAGTCCCCATAAAAAGGCTGAGGATTCCTTCCTGACGATGGAGTAGGAGCTCGAGGGGAGAGGCGGAAGACGAGCTGAACACAGATACGGGTTGCCGACATCTGTGCCCGCGATCACCATTCCGTAGCCCGACATAGCCGCATCCGTATAGAGAAATACTGCCTCGCTTACGTCAACATATCTCGGGACACTGCACGTGGTGACAGTCTCGTTGTAGAGATGGAGTAAGGAGCATGCTTGATCGCGGTCTCCAGGTGACAATCTGGAGTCCATTTGCAATCCTGCCACAAAGCAGCACCGTAAAATTTTCTTGAGCTTAAGAAGTATCCACGACGCATGGCCCAGGACGTCATAACAGGTGTGGACAGCGGATAAGAGGCCTCGTACAGTTAACGTCTCGCTAGCATACAATGACGTGTCAACAGGTCTAGGGAGGAACTCATCTTTGGCCGTCCATATAATACCCAGGCCTTCGGCAACTGTAGGGTCCCAACTTCGCTTAGTCTTCTTTTCCGAGAAGTGCTGGCCTCTGGACTTGGTCACCTGGCCATCCTCGTCGTACATGGTCTCGGCCTCACGCTGGGAATCCGCTGCCACAACATAGTCATCCATGTAACGGCCCCTGGCACTGTGATTTAAGTACGAGTGGGTACACAGGGCGATGCGCTTCTCCATAGTGTTCTTGAGCAAATCATCACCGTCTTCTGCCGTTGTCGCCGTAGAAGATGCTACCCAGCTCGAAGATCCTCGGAGTAACCGTAGATTAGCATCCTCGACCTTAAGAACGGCTCGTCGCAGGGTTCTGGCGGCCTCACTCGGTCTCTGGAGAGAGAGCTCCTTAGGATGAAGACCGTGTCGTTCTTCAGGTGTTGCCAGGCAGGCTCCGTCCAGAGCCAGCTTGATGGGATAGGCTTCAGGGTCGTCTAATCTCCCGGTTAGTCGTGCTGCCGTTCTCTCATTCGATTCGGCAATCATGATGCTGCCAGAGAGCTGCAGCACAGCCGGAGAACCAGATATGCCCATTGCTGGACCCAGAAACTGGAAGTACCGATAAGTAGGGGCGTCTTCGTGGCCTTCAATGTTGGCTAAGACAAATGCCATGGTGAGCATTGTACGCTCTGGAACTCGGCAGTTGAGAAATGCGGCCTTTAGGTCGGCCCAAATACAGTACTTGTAAAGCCGACTATAAGCGACACACTCCCATGTACCACGATCTATGTTGACGCCTGCCTTCTGCGCTTGATTACCGACTCTCCAGTCGAAGACGGGTCTCACCGCTGTGCATCTCCCAACCTCACCATCTGGAGTTTTCTTGCCCTTGATCACCGGGAAATGGGGAGTGAAGTAGGCTTGATCTGTAGGAGCTTCAAGCGGTTGGATATATCCGCGCGATAAGTACTCTTCAAAGGTGTTGGTGTAAGCGGATAGAAGACCTCGGCGCTTCAAGGACTTGGCGAGCTTATAGGCATGACTCTTGGCGAACGTCAGGTTCCCATCTGTAGGTGTCAGGCGATCACTGTCCTCATACCAGCTGAAGTCGTGGAGGAATCTGGTACACGAGACGCTCAACATCCCATCCGAATCCAATTGTAGCTCATCAGCGTATGTGCCTCGGAAGCTACAGTGTGGATTGTCAAGAGCTCGTTCGAGTGGGAGAGCCTCCTTGAGGTCGAGCTTGTTGCTGAGAAGCGGCAGATTACCGGCTGCAGTAGCATATAGCTCGAAGCTATAGTCATGATCAAGACCACATTCTGTGAAGGTCGAGTCAGCCACGGCTCCCAGGAAGTTGACAGTGTCGAAGATGCAAAGTTGTGTGTCGCACTCCATGCTGGACACACAAGCGATGATGTCATCGGTGTCGGCTCTTGGGAGTTCTTGGGGGCGTGTCTCCTCTTCACGGACCAGTGCTTGCTCGGGGTCAACGCCGCTATACGCGTGTACACCAGAAGCGTCGAAGGTCATGCCGATGCGGAGAGTCTTCAGGCCCTCAACACCAAGCAGCATAGTCGGAAGCAGGGTCTCCGGGCAAAGAAATCGAAGTCTGTGGACGTCATGTGGCCTCTTGGGGGAGCTGACTGAGACGATCGCCACTCTGTTAGTGGGCATCATCTCACCTGATACCCCCACCGCTTGTATAGCATGCTCGCCTTCTGGTTTGAGCCACTGGACACAAGACCCAAGTGCCTCTAGGATGGCTGGCTGGGCGTAGTTGTACCCTGCTCCCGAATCCAGTACGGCTTTCACCGTTTTGGCATGGGGACTCTGACCGATGACAAGTTCCGTGCAGACCGGACCGGAGCGGTTAAAATGTAGGGTGTCGTGCTCTATCTGGCCGACGTGGAAGGTCATGCTCAACGAGGAAGGATCTTCGAGGGCAACGAGTGGTAGATCTGGGCTGAACACCACATTCGTGGCGTTGCCCTTATTGCCAGGACCTTTTTTATGCTCGCCCTTCCTGATATCCACTAGGGAGTAGGGGCACATACCAGACCGATGATCCTTGGACTCGCACCTTTCACAGCTCAGGGAACCGGCCTTCTCAAGCTTGCAGCTCGACACGGGATGTCGAAAGCTTCCACATTTACAGCGACGATTCTCCTTGTGAGGACGTTCTTCGTCGCAGGCCACAGTCTGGTGCTCGCTGCTGAAACACCGGAAACAAGTGGCCTTTACGCGAGGACGATGTTCTGAGGGACTCTCCTTCGTTACCGGTGGCTCCTTAAGAGCTACTGTTGTGGCAGCTAGGGACGGTGCTACCGCATTTACCGAGGTAGAGGAGGACGTTGATGTCGCTACCTGGAACGTCGCTGGCCACCGTGTCGGCTGCGATGGAGCATCAGTTCCCGGTTGACGGAGATGTCCCAGCGAAAGAGCCTTCTCTTTGACCCTTCTGATGGCTTCTTGAATGTCCTCATAGGAGATGGTGTCGATACATTTCTTCAGAGATGAAGACAGGATCGTTCCCACAGTTTCATACCACCATGCGTTATATGGGCTGTTCAAGTTGTTCCGGACAGCCGCATTGATGTGAAAGGCATGTATCTGCGCACCTGAACCGTTTCCCTCGTAAGCCAACTCCAGTAGGGCTCGACGAATACCATCCAGATAAGTAAATATGTCAGCCTGACCTTGTTTCTCACCGAGAACCTTCTGTATGAGAGCAGTTATATGGACCGTCCTACTGTGGAACTTGTTCAAGTATGCGATTGTAGCTGACCAGAGTTCGCGGTGGTAGGTGTAAGTCCTCGTGTCTTTGCCAACTGTTGCCTCTCTGGTGGCTGCTCGTTTGATCTCTTCTGATAGATCTCCCGAGATGGCGCTGGCATGGAACGCTCTGACTGCCTCTGGATGGTCGATAGTTCGCCATTCTTGCTCTACATGCTTACTCCATTCCCTCAACAAAGTGGTCAATGCTAGACGGGAATCTTCTCCACCGATGAATGGCTGATGGCCTTTTCTGCGCCAGCTGTTGCCAAGGTCTGTTGTCCCCTTGAGGATGACTCTCAGCTCCGACTCGTTGATCCTATCCGATGGGACCACCATAGAGTTAGGCACATTGTAAGGGTAACTGTAGTCTTGAAGTGTTGGTTGTTTAGAGTCAACAGGGCGATAACCAGAGTAGGGTGGTTGATAAACCGGAGGTGGAGCTACATGTCTGAAATGTGTGTGTAGTCCGCCTGAATAGGTATCTGTATACCGGTAGGTTGCTCTCTCTGGCAAATGCTCCTCTTCTCTGTTCTGATGAAGTGACGGGGCATAGCTTAGATGTTGTTGATGGAGTTGTTGAGGGACATCGGCCTCGTAAGTTTCTCTTCGGATGCCACCGGGGTAGAACACACCATAGTCAGAAGGTGAATCTGGCGGAAGGTTACCCTTGTGGTATTGATCCTCTCTAGATCTTCTTGCCGGGATGGTCTCTCTAGGGGATTGACCACTGCGGGGGGCGAGATGATCTGGTCTTAGAGAACGTTGTTGTGGAACATAGCCGGGGAACGAATAGAAGTCGCGCCAAGGAGGAGGTTGCTCTTGGCCTTGATCTCCATCGTCTTCTGGTTGGGCTCGTCCATATGGCCGAAGCTCTCGCGGTAGGTTCAGCGGTGGTGGAGAGGGAGGTCTTCCAGCTAGTCGACGCGACGCTCGGCGGGGGTCATCGGCCAAAGGTGCCTCTAGATTGGCTGGGTCTTCACTCCGGTTTCCTCCAGCTTCGGGTGCTATGGGGCCACCGTTGTCGCCTTGTTGATTTCTCGGATGATTGTGCTGATCTTCGTGGGTGGACATGTGTTATAGAACTCAAATCCCCAGAGTTGGGTGAAGATCTCAATAGTATTAATTAGTGATGACTGATTAGCAGCCGTTTCATTATCATCATGGGCGTGCGGTACGATAGATACTTGGGCGATCTGAGGACAACCTAAGCAATATACTTTTAATTATTTCAGAGCTTAAATTGGGTGTCGTGTTCCAAACCAATCCACTGGTAGAACACAAGGTAGATATTTACTTATAAGAATAGAGTGTATAATAGAGTAGTCAGAGAGCCTCCGAGAGCTTGGAGACAGAGTGGTTACCGTGAACACGTACACGTACACGTTTGCGTATACACGTTTGAACTCACGTCCACAGCGTTTAGCTATAATCTATAGCTAAAAGATACTGGAGTACTTATTATATGAAAGGATACGAAAACTCAAGATAGAGCAAGGTAGCAAGAGGGAGTGGATTACCACATCCTCCCGCCCAGCAATTGCATAACTTAATAATAGGAGTACTAAGTATAATGCAAGATAACATAAAAAATTAAGGAGCAAACGCAGTTCTCATCATTATCTTCTTAGGGATAGCACCAGTTTGACTTCTAGTGACCGGTCTTCGGCCATCACTTGCGGTCGGCGAAACAGTCACAGGAGGAGATGGTGTCGTAGTAGTGGATGTAGTGAGTGCAGGTGGAGTGATTCTCGCATCATCAGATAGAGCTTGGGGACTGTGAACTTCATCTCGCCTCATCAGTATGACCTTCTTCATGAATCCCTCGACATCATTATCCGCAATGTCCGTAAATAGCGGAGTAAAGCTGCTCCTCTGCTCATCAACAGTGGAACACAGCTTACAATTGTTGGTAGAATGCACCTCAAAACCGTTGGGAGTTTTGACTACCAGGGTATGAGCTGTAGCAACTTGGACAATATAGGGCCCTCGATAATTATCAGACATTTTGGAGGATTTACGAGTGAACACGTAAACCTTATCACCGGGATTAAAAGAGGATGTTGACGATAGAGGAGATCCTCGTCCTCTAAGGCGTCGGGACTCCCGATTCTTCTCGTAGGCTTCGATAACCTCTCGTAGCCTGGACTGACGCAGTAATTGACGACGAGCGGCATTAGTAACCTCAACCGGTTGATTGTCCACAGCATCAGCATTTGTGCAGCTTACCACGGCCTTGCCGGCATCACCATGTTCAGGATCAGGAAGGCCAGGAACTCGAGGTTCACGACAATGGAGAAGATAGAAGGGGGAGCAACAGGCATCCAGTCTTCGACGAGCATTCACTAAGAGTAAGGCCTTCTGCAGTATGAGGTTGAAGGCTGACAATGTAGGCTTGAGACCTCTCAGCAAGCACTTGAGCGTGTACGTCAACACTGCATGGACCCGTTCAGTGGCACCGTTCATAGCAGGGTTATTTAGACCACTAAATAGCAACCTAGTACCGTGTTGAAGGATGGTCTTGCGAAATTGACGATTGGTAAAGCCCTTATGGTTATCGGCAAGCAGGTACACCGGCCACCCACGACGCCACAGAATAGATGATACAGAGTGGCAGGTGTCGTTCTTGTCAAAGGAGTGCACATACTCAGCATCACAAAACCCGGAGACAAGGTCGCTAATCACGATCAGCCTGACTGTAGCTAGTCGTTTATTAGGATTAGATCCATCATCATCATTCTGACAATGGTCACTGATCTTCAGAGGGCCAAGACCATCAACAGCACAATACTGCCATACGTCTAACTCCGTGATCTTCTTTGAACCTCCAGTAGGCTGATAACGTCGTTGATTTCTCAATGGCATACACGTGGTGCATGTTCGCAAGGTTCTGCTAACAGTAGCACCAATCTTACGCCAGAAGAATCGCCGAGAGATAATATTACGAGTACGGACTCGTCCAACATGACCCATACCACAATGATACCGTAATATAATCAATCGCTGGAGAAAGTGTTCTCGAGCTGGCACAACCAGTTGCTGGAGTAGCTCATCTGAGATGAGTCATCTCCATCATATCTACTTTGTCGTAACAGTAGTGGCGATTCATCGGTATCATTAGACCAACCTTGAAGCCCTAGATAATCCCGATATGCCCGGGGTATTGGAGTGTTAAAGTCGGTAGGCTTACGGAGCTTGTGGATAATTTCGGCAGTCTCAGGGTCGTCATCCTGAGCCTTCTTCGTCAAAACCTCAAGTACATCACGAGAAGGCGTATACAAGCCATCCAAGGATTGCGAACGCCAGACATCGAAGACCTTGATCATTGTACCATATTGATGGAGTTGCCGAGCCCTTAGATGATCTTTACGGAGTATCTCTTCCGCCCTCGGCACTTCGGCATCGGGCCCGAGTAGCTCAAGCCCATTCAACCATACCATCATGTCATCGATATCGAGTGAGTGAGCTTCATGCTCGGAACTATCAGAGTCGGGCACGAGTTCACAGGTAGGTTTTGATGGTGATGATGAGATATAGTCATATGGTAACCTCAACCGTATGGGCTTGAGATGTACATCGGGGTGAGCAGAATATCCATTTGTGAAGACCGCTTGTAGGACTGCATGACGAAAGGAGCGCTGTCGATCGTAGAAGGGGGAATCAGATTGTGGTGGAGGTAGTCGACCGCGAGACGGACCATCCGCTGGATTTATCGCTCCGGGGCAGTGAGCTAACCATAAGGTAGAGCCATCCTCGTTCAGGGAGTGGGCCAGTCCGAGAATCTTATGGAGACGGGTTACTTCCCATCGTGTCCATCCACGTTTGGGAGCTTCGCGAGTCAGACGATGATAGTTGAGACGGCTATCAGTGAGAAGTACAACAATGGGGAAGGGGCGAAGTTGGGATTGTACCAACAGTACAGTGAGCAAGCCTTGTAAGATGGCGTTCAACTCAGCTCTTGGAGCCTTGAATGTATTACTTGATACCGACTTTCCGAAAATGCCTCCACGAGCAAAAAGTCTCTCACCGTTGTGGCCAATCTCACATACACAAGCCCATGCCTTCAATGTTGCATCCACATAGACACATACAACCTTCTCGCCATTCAAAGATGGTATATGTCGGGGAATCGGGGTGAGGTTACTGATAGTCCGTAAGCATTGTGTGATATCCATAACCATGGTAGCATCAGAGGGATAGTCATCGAACGATAGATTGTCGTCACACTGAATGTACTTATCTGCAGAGAGTAGAATGAGCTTCAAGGACATCCATGATTCCAGAAAAATGCCGATGGGGTCGTAGAACTTGGCAATAACCGATCTCAACTGCTTACGATTCTTAGGTACTTCACACTGCAGATTGTCGATGAGCTTCTTCACAGACGCAGGGTAGATATAGTCTTCCGTAACAAAGTAAAGGTAACCGAGAACCTTCTTGGCAAGTCTGTTAAGATCAACCTTCTGGGAGGTATCACCGACCACAGTATTAACAATGCGTTTTACAGCATTATCTTGCAGCCCTTTGGACTTGAGTGTGAGCACCGTATCATGTAGTAAGCGATCTCTAGTTCCTTGATTATCAGAACCACCAACAACATCATCCATGTAGGCTCCAACGTCATCGTATTCCCTACAGTCATCATCTCTTGCAACCTGGACCCCAACTGTGGAGAGGTTCCAGTCAGAGGAGATGCCGTTCACAGAATAGACATCTTGATCATCGGGACCACCTTGTCGAGAAGATGTGTTATCAACAGGTAACCTGTTTCGAACATAAAGGCCACCTCGATCAGGGAGGACGTTGTCAACGGCATAAAGGCCACCTCGATCAGGGAGGACGTGGTCAACGGGGAAGACTTCTGGGCCGACAAGAGAGCATTGAACCGGTCTCAGCTCACGTTCAACCATGTCTTGCAGACAAAAGGGAGCGTTGGAGAGGCCGAAGAATACTCGGGAGGCTACATATCCGTGGTTATTGTGAACGAAGCAAACAAACCTCCTCACATTAAAGTGTAACACCAGCTGCATAAACGCCTGAGTCTGATCCGTCACATAGATCCATCGATATCGACGGAAGCGGAAGAGATGTCGGAGAGTGCTACAGTGTGTCTTCGGAGTCAGCGGAGTTTTCAAATACCGGTTGATGTCCCTACAGTCCCAAACGGGACGTATAGGGCTAGAAGCTGAGCTTTTGAATACAGGGAAGTGGTAGATACAGTGACATTCGTGACGGATGAGAGTACTTATGGGTACTTCAAAGGCATATCCATTGGCAACCATACTATGGATAAGATCGGTATAGGCATCAAGGTGACCACTCTTAGCGAGACGAGCACACTGTCGGCGATTCTTATAGAGCTCGCTGATAACATTTGACTGAGGACGTGCCTTCGACTTCCATGGTAACGTATAGAATCCTCGCTTCTGACCGTCGGCCTTTGTGATGGCGTAGGTAATACCGTCATCTACAGTCAAGTCGTAGTCGATGGGAGGCCAAGTTGGATCGGTCGTGAGGTCACCATCGAGCTCACTATCAGAGTCTGGCCAACATAGGTTCATCTCCAATATATCTTCGGCCCCCAAGTCGGACCAATCGACTTGTAGAAAATCATTTTCAGCGAGATCGGGCTCCATGACGACAGTTCCTCGATCACTGAGTGCAGGTTCTTGACACGATGAAGTTGCAGCCGTCGCTTTGGTTGAAGCTACAATAGGCACCGAGTCAGCGACTCTTGGAAGCGGTTTATATTCTTGAAGAAACCGATATAGGTCTTCTTCACCCGATGATCGACAAACTCGAACTAGTTCCTTGAAAGTATTCGCTGAGAGCTTCAGTCCACCGGCTATCTGAGAATTCGATATACCTTCGAATCGCCAAAGAGTAGCTTCTGCTCGATCAGGTCCACCACATACTTCAGTAGAAAAGATTATAGGCCGTGACAACGTATCGCATACATAGAAGGTATGGGGCGGAAAATGCCCACCGGGGTCTTCAAGCTGCGGGATGACAAACTTGAGGCATAGGATGACCGATAGCGAAACCGGAGTTCGAGTATTGTTGGCAGCCCTTATAAAGCAGTTAACGACTGGGATCTCTTGATGAACATACCCATCGGACTTGAGCTGGTTGTAGTAAGCCTTAGAAATGCAACATTTGGCCGCACCCGTGTCAAGTAGACCTGTGACCACCCGTGTCTTCGACCTAGATGCATCAGAAAGGAGGAACGATACGTGGTGGGCACTCGCAGTCGACCGAGCGTTACCGATCTCATCACAATCATGGTGAATACCGTCAGCCTTGGTCACAGAATCGTCAATCTCCAAGCTGTAGGTTAGCTGTTGGAGGCCACCTTTATCCACAGAGACTTTATTACCATCCTCGACAGAGCGGTTGGACTTGGTATTGGAAGCATCCGATTTCGAATTGGTAACATTTCCAAAGTCAGATTTCCATGGTAGAGGGCAGATAACACAAGTGTGACCAATTGCACCACAGCGGGTACAAGAGACGTCTGCAGGTAGGTTACAGACCGATACGGGATGTCAACGTCCACAGCGTTTACAGCGCCGAGAGACATGCTCAGGCTCCTTTTGACGACAGTCCTTGGCGTGATGGTTGGCCTTACCACATCGTCGACAAGTAGGTTTAGTCGTACCAACTTGTTGTACATCGTAATCACCATCCTCTTCAACAATGTTCACGTCGGTCGAATGACCTCGACTGGCTTGACGAGGTTTTTGAGATTGCTGCTGTTGACGGCGTTCCCGATCTTCAAGAGTGATGCGACATACCAAACGGCTGTAGGGGTCCAACTGGTGAGTTTTAGCAAACTGTTGTAGATGAGGCGTGATCTTAGACAGTAGGGCTTGTTTAGCAAGCTCTGGTGTCATCGGGTTACCAACCGCTGCCAAGGCACGCTGTGAACCTTCGAATCGGGCCAGAAAGTCGACGAAAGACTCGTCGCTGGATATTGAGAGTGAGTTCCATCCCGCTAGAATATTGGACGTCTCACCATCCGAATCAATAACGGACATCAGACGTGTCCAGAAAAGGTCAACCAACATAGCGTAAGATGACCGTGTACCTTGTGGGTTCGGAAGCATCATATTCTCGAACACATCTGGCTCGATACAACGACGTAGATAGTAGTAGTAGAAGACAGCACAACCAGCATAGCTACTGACAACCTCTTCGAGACGCCTCCTCTTCTTAGAACCCATCACGACTACTGCATATCACAGCGAATATCGCGTTTTTCACCGAGTAATACGCCACAAACGGGTGAAACTCCAATAAACCACCTTTGGGGCTCTGGAACTACACCATTTCCCGTTCTACTAGATCAGATCTATTCCACGAATTGTCACTTTCAAGTTCATATACTGCCACATATTCCAACTTCTAGTGATCGAATTTTTTTCCTCTCCCGTTTAACATTTTTTCATTTCAATTTCATTCTTTTCCGAGTCGATTTCGCGATTACCAAAAACGGAAACGACAATATATGGAAATGGGTATGGAAAAATATCGTCGGTGGCCAGAAATTGGAGCGGCAGTATATGAATTTGAAGTGGCAATTCTTGGAATAGATCGGGAAATGGTGTCTTTAGAATCGACTCTCGAAAGTTGTGTGTGGGTTCAAAGTTCAACGCCGAGATCCGGCTTAGTGAGATTAGCGCTGATGCATCGTACTCCAAGAGGGTTGAAACCAGGCAAGTTCATTGAGCACATAGAGTAACACTCAGGCAGAGGATAGGGCAAACCTAGGATACTTTCTATCCTCTCGGCAGGATACGCTCCTAGTACGACCACGAAAAACTGGTCTTTCCTACAAGGTGTCGACCACAAGCATCATCTCCGCAACTCGAAGAGTCCATGCCGTAAGAATGGATGATGTCACCCATTCCATCACCAACCCCTAGCCGTGTTATTCACAGTAACTAGGTGTAATATCACCAGCTACCCACATATACAGTTCAACAGCCACAAGGCACAATCAGCAGTTATCAGGCACATAATAACGCTCGTTGTAGGCTACCGCCTCTACTGTGTCGATTACATTGTTGTAACATATGTTGGCCTTCCTCAGCTGATCCTAGTTCCCTCGTCAATTATAGGAGTTTTTATACGACCTAGGATAGAAACGTTTAGGAACCAACCAGAATTTCCTCAGAATTTTCATATTGCCACCAACATATGTGGTTGACCATGGGTGTATTTTCCCACACTGGTTGTCACTTGTTCGAACTCAACTCCCTCATAATAGAACTGTGAATTTTCACGGGATCACCAGACCAGGAGGTCCGAACATGCGTTCAACCCATTGCTTCGTTTTAGTCAAATAAAACTCAGGATCAGAACCATAGTTCAAGTAGGCCCTAGCAGGCCATGTCAGTGACGCCACTGTAGACTTGCCGTACAGGGCGGGCTCTATGTTGGTTCCCTCGTGCCATTCGTTGAAGGACGTTATAGAAACCTGACGAAAACACTGGTCACGAATACGTACATGCGCCATACCATTTTCGGTCGAAGTCTGGCAGCCTCGGAGAACATATGGTCGAAGTATTGACCATCACGACGATCGCGAGTGTTGGCGAAGTTCCAAGGCCGCACCTCTACGTCAATATACCCTGGCCCTACCTGAGCCATTGATTTCCCCAGAGAGTGGTATATAACTAAATCACTAATTTTCGCAACGCTAAAATGAAGGGAGTTTGCTCACGCTCGGTATAAAGTAAATGCCAGCCTCTTGCGCGACTCGGCCCATGTAGAGCCAGTTGGACGGAGTACTGCCGTACACGAAGCCAGCAGCTGCGAAATAGGTATAGAACCCATCTGCGAGAGAGTTCATGCATAACACAATATTCAACGATCGCAACAGTAACTCATGAACTCATCAGTAAAGTAAAAACTCTGAAAAATTTGTCAATGTTGATATGGCTTCGTGAGCCTCTCTACTCACCGAATCCTGATTTGGTATAAGTCGAGTGGGCCGCCTCGACCCATAGGAAGATCGCTGTGCAGTCCAAACCGGTTTTACCACGGACCGAGAGGTCCCCATTCGGGGTCAACAACCTAGCCCATTCTTCTGGAGAATTGTGGTAGCTATCGTAGATGTATCTATGCTGGAACTCAACAATCATTAGATCGGCTATTGCATCTCACACGAGAGGAAGAAGCGTTCCGTCACGAACATTGGCGACTCTATGGAGAGCTGGGTGCTCCCCGTAGTGTGTGTGAATGTATTCAAAGTCTTTACGTACCGTAGAAGGGGTACGACCTACACTCACAGTGTTGAGATATACGTTCGCCTTTCCTCAGCTGAGCCCAGGAATTTCCTCACTAATTGTAGGAGTTCATATACGAATTCAGGCAGAAGCGTACAGAAATTAACAATAATTTTTCACATTGTCACCAACATATGTAGTTGAACCCAGTGTTGGAGTATATGTTCGCTTTCCTCAGCTGGGCTTGAGAGTTTCCTCACTAATTATAGAAGTCCGCATACGAATTCGGGTAGAAGTGTACAAAAACCTCCAAGAAATTTCCAAAATTTCCTCCTAATTTTCATTTTTTACCAACACGTCATACGAAGCCGTCAGTGTATCACACCTTCGTATGGCTCCAAGTGAATAGCAACTCTCATGCCGTGAGCCCACGCGATATCGAGTAGTAATGCTCGCAATATGTCGACGGTTTGGTTTAGATCGTCAAGCGCTGGGTCGTGGAGACCAGGGGGATACCTCGGGTTCGGTTTGATACTAGGATTTCGCAAGAGTGTGGTACCAGCTCACAACAGCTACACCCAAGCCAGCCCTCTTCATCATGTCCATATGAGTGGCGATGGTTTGAGGGTCCAGCGAGGAGTAGGGTCCAAGCTGAGGCCAATACGATGACCCTATGTCATCATTCTCGGGGATATGCTCATCTTGAGCGTATCTACGATGGGACTGTTCCTCGTCGTAGAGTATATGTTTGATTGACGTTTTCAGCTCTGTTTAGGAGCTTCCCCAAGACAGTATGGAAATTCGCGCCCGACTAAGAAGAATGCTTTATAGAGACTAACGGGAATCTCCCAAAATTTTCATGAAGACCTGGACACACGTAGTTGACCATATGGATGCTTTCCCAATGCTGAGTAGGAAACCGTTTACTAGGGTTTCTGACTATTTCGTGTCTCACTTTTTGGCAACTTCCTGGTCCCAATGAGACAACCGCTGATGATTCCAATGAGACCAGTTCCCATCTCTGTCCTTGTTGCGATACCACATGTAATAAAATACATGAGCGTTGCAACGCCACCCACAGGAGCTATCACTAAATGTTGGTTCGCTCGTCACGACTGCGGACTGGGAAGGCTTGGTCGTCGTTACTTTCTCGTGAGTACTCAGAGTTGTCGGACTTGCGTTCACCTTTACAGTGACGTCAGTGGCTATGAAAACGCTGTTGAGATTCCTTATTGGTCTGCTTTTCAGAGGACCTCTTAGGTGATGTTCATTGTGTGAATCAGAAGAGTTGATTAGAATAAGGAGAAGGACAATCACATATGTGAGCGAAACGATGCCGATGAGAATGGGAGTAGCTGATCGCCACTTTAAGAGACGCATATGAAGCAACTGCTCATATGCATTGAGATCCGCCCACTCGGGCTTTGTCGTTGGACGAGGAAGTACGAATTCATCTCATACAACACAAGTTGTCACTTCTTAGAAGTCCTATCATGATCCATGTACTGGCCAAATATCACTATAGGGAGCAAATCACGCGAATACAGGATCAACACATACAACAGAATGGTTTTTCCTCACGAACCATAAGCAGCCCTCGTTACTAACAAAAAATCGGCAGAAATTAATACGTGGAAGTGGCACACGAATAAAAACAATATTCTGACGGAGGTCTATGATGGACACAGTAAGCGTCTTCGATCCGCGGTGATAGCCAATTATGAAGCACTGATCTCTCTCGTTATCAACGTCAAGGTCACGACCATATACATCCAACTTGACAACTTCGCTTAGGACGTTCCTGGGGTTAGAAATGGCGCTTACAACAGAGTCATTCGTGTCTCGCTGGAGTAGGAGGATTTGAGACCTCTCTTCGCCTTCGTACACACACAGTCCTTCTGCTGGACGCTGACTGCAGTCAATAACAGTGCTCGTTGATCCATCTTGATCGATACGAATCACGGATTCACCTTGCCATGAGAGGCCATAGAAACAACCATCATGAGAAGAGAAGACGGGTTTGAAGAGACAATCAGCAGTGGTCCTTCCAGAAGTCCATGAGGGCAGCAACAGCCCGCTCCGTGACTCGTCCCGTTCCCAGTTCGAGAAGCGGCACATGCGTCCAGTGTTTTGTTCGATGCCGATTAGTTGTCGACTTTTGCTATCATACGCCAGACAAAGCAGAGTACCCACATTGAGGGTTTTGTGTTCAATAAGATTGTTGTTCGAGGTGAGTTCGAGGACGACACATTCATAGAGGCTACTGTCTCGCAATATGAGCAGACCAGAACCATCTGCTAGTCGGCAACAGGATGAGGGGAGAATGTCGGTCGCGACGATTCTAGGGGCGGTAAAGGCCTCCAGTCGAGGCAGTAGCAAATCCCAAATGTCCACGAGACAATCAGTCGGCAAGAATCCTCCATAGCGCGTAACGAGTGTTTGGATAATTAGTGCTGATCGCTGCCTGTTGCCGTGAAATGCGGGAGACATTCTGTTCATGAGCCAACTACAGGAGTGAAAAACTCAGCATCTATTTCTGGTACACCCCTGAAGGGGTGCTCTCGAAATGCATATTTACTCAAGTCATTCTGTTCAAAGCAAGCTCAACGTCGTAGATTTTCTGGTCACTTCATACCCTTGTAAAGTGACAGGCCAAGAACCCAAGTACTTGACGAGAAACTTTGATCTTCCGAATTCGGCTAAGAAAAAGACACGCTCCTCAATGAACTTGGGTTACTCTAGCCCAACTTGATAGAAATGATTTGGTAACGACTTTACTTGAGTTAGATAGTCATAAAACATAGCGTAGTTTTCTCTTATGATCTTAGTACGATACTCAGCGCAACAGGCTGCAAACATATGAAAATACAAAACTACTTATATCCTTGCAAGTGTCTATACACGTATACTGAGAACTACGAAAAGATTAGATGACGACATGTTTGTGGGAGCATACAATAGCCACCCACTGTGCGATGTGAGAGACAGAAAATCAGAAAATAGCACAAAATCTAATTCTTCGAGGCGATGTTTTCGACTCATATCCCAACAATACGACAACTTACTAGAGTCTTCTGGAAAGACTCACAGGTTGATCAAACAAATATTGGGTCCAACGACTCGACACACCGGTCCTCAGTGATTACCCAGAGGCCCCCATCGCTTCTAACAAATGTTCGTGATAGAGAAATTTCGGGCAAGGACACTTGCGTGCGAATAGATTTGCGATGAATATCAATAATAGCGACTGTAAGCGTATCAGGCCCGTCATAGTAGCCGATCACAAAACACAGAGCTTGCTCATTATCAACATCCATATCGCAATTGATGAGATCCACTTTGCTAACCTCACCGAGCGACTGCCCGTCAAGTGAAATCGCCAACAAAACCGAAATACTGAGCTCGTTCGGCGTTCGATGAAGGAGCAGAATTTGTGGTTCGTGCTCTTCGTGCTCGTACATGCACAGACACTGAGTCTGATTATGCTCAAACTCGAGGAAGGTGCTTATAGTTCCATCAGAATGGATACGAATAATCGAAGCACTTCGCCACGAAAAACCATAAAAACAGTTTTCACGAGAGCAAAAAATTGATCGGCTCATATACCCGAGGAGATTTTGCCATGAAACACGAGACGGCTGCCGCTCAGCCGTAGTAGTAACGATATTGTCGCACTCCCAGTCCGTGAATCGGCATGAACGGCCCGTATTTTGCTCAACACAAACAAGGCCACCAGCAGGTACGTCAATTGCCAGACACAGTAGAAACCCAACGTTCAAGTTGTGGTGCCTTATGGTCTCGCCAGATTGTCGCACTTCAAGAAGACCACATTGATAGCGTTTCCATCGTCGTAGTAATAACAGACCAGAACCATCACGACGCTTGTAATACGGGGATGCCTGTACGCCTATGGCTACTTTCTCTGGCTCGGTGAAACCCGTCAAGCAAGGCTTGGCGAAAGTCCAAATGTCAGACACACAGTCTACTGGTATCAGTGATAAAACACTCCTTGCAAGTGCTTCGACGACTATGACGGAACGCGCGTACTCAGCGGAATACATGGGAGGGTGACTTCTTTAGATGATTCGGTGGAAAGGACTGTTGGAGCGCCGTTAAGGAACAAATCTCAACCTGTGTTGCATCAGAATAAATCACCGTTGAATTGACAGCAAAACACGGAGGAGTCAAAACTGATAGCTCATCATGAATGGAATAGCCCTCAATAACAACAACAACAACGACATCAACAATCACGACAACAAGAGCAACAGCAACAGCAACAATAACAACAACAACAACAACAACAACAACAACGACAATAACGACAACAACGACAACAACAACAACACGAGAAAGATCTCAATGATAAGGAGGCACACTAGAGGCATTTTCGTCAGTAAGATGCTGCTAGAAGCCCTCAGCCTTCGACGCATCAAGTATCTTATTGTACTGGGGTTGGTACGGTGACAAAGCTACAGCAACAGAGTCAACCGACACTGTATCGGTCGGAATGTGCTGGATTCAGGGGATATCGATGATGAGGAATGAGAATGTTGGAGTGACTTGAAGACGCAAAAAATTGTCCTCCATAGTTGCCTTATAATTGTGATGTAGCTGTGTATCGAGCTAGTATGCTGGTCTGCTACTATTGAACTTTCATTAGATCTTTTAAGCTGTTATTGATGTTATCTTCTGCGTGAGATCAAACGGGGTTTCGTTAACTCGAAGCCTTTGAGTTGAAGGATATTGGAAAACCGTCATAGGGACAATGTCTGATGGTATTCGACAGATATAGTGACTGGTGAACTATAAAGTAAAGCTGGAAATGTCAGCATATATGTTCACTTCCTCTCAGTTCGGAAGCTCCATTACTACATTGTGGATAATTCACACAAGGCTTTTGGTAGAAGTATGCGAACGCCAACAATAATTTCCCAAATTCTCTTAGAGTTTTTCCATTGTCAACAACACATGTGCTTGACCGTGTCCAGACTTCCCTATGCCAGACATAACGAGCACCGGGAGGCTCGCACCAAAATGTGCAATTGTTTATGTACCATAATAATATGGTGATTGAGAGTTTGATCGGGTCTTTCTCTGATCCTGGGGCGGTGGCCACTCGAATCGAGGTGCTGTCAACTCGTTGTCCATCAGCGGAGTATCGTGCAACGGGCACTCGACGCGCTGATGCTCGGTCCCGGTTCTCCGTTCTCAGTCGAGGACCATCGAAGCTCAGTAATGTCAGGATGTGTGCTGTCTCTCACCACTTACCGAGGATCCACAAACCTCATATCAAAGCATACTGCATGTCCCGAACTACTCATTGTTACTAACAATTTGTTAGACCACCGATGGGTTCCACGCGCAGTCGGCAAATAATTAGATCGACGCTCCATGTCCCGCGATGCATTGTCCGCTTCCAAACTGAATCCGCCACCCATATGATCTAATCCTTTGACTTTACCGTTTGCCCTCAGTCCGTTTGAGAGCAGTTGAATGGTGGCCGCCACTACACTCGCTAGCCCTTTTTTCACAAAATCCCTCTCACATCAAGTTTACTCGTCGAATCGAGAATGCGAGAATCTGAGTCTCTGAGAACTCTAAGTATCTGAGCCTACTCGTCGAAACCGTGGGCACATTCATGGAAGACGCTTATCTCGACGCCTACACCATAGCACCTACTGTGCAAAGTCATGAACTGAGATGTCCAGTAGTATTGCAAGTCAGTCTGTGAAAAGTTCCTAGCCAGAATTGAACCCTCATCCGAGCGGCTGTTAAACTAGTTCCTTAACGTCTGGACCACAAACACTACATTAACGAAGTATTTAGTAAAAATGCGGCTTAACAAAGATAAAAGAATGTAGGAATTGGGTAGAAATTGGTTGAAAAGTGGCTAACTCGTGGTGCGCGTAAATATCAATGTACGCAGAAATAAAAAATGTCCCCTGTTGTAACATACGATGGTTCGACTTCACCAGACCCGTTGGGAAACCCGACGCAGACATAGTTCCATTATATTATAATGGGGTTTATAATGCAATACATATTCGACTGAGGGAGAGACGGTTTCACAGCCGTTGCAGCCTAATCTGGCCGGGCGGGCGCTACCGTATGTGACTCACAGTGAAGGTGCATTGTTATCACACTCCTCCCACCTCGGGAGCTGCCACTAACTACCAAAATGAGACGAGAGATAATATCAAAAGTTGGGCAATCCAAAATAGAAAATAGACGATCGCAGAGATTAGTGGTATAGACACAGATTGTGGGACTCTTGGACCGAACCATCACTGAGGCGATAAGTCATCTGGTGAGGACCACAGCATTCAGCAATAACGTGAGGGCCGCTCCAGTTCACGCCTAGTGCTGGCTTCGGGCCAGACCACTTGAGCACCTTCTGACCGATTTGAAACACACGTCGACGGGAGACGATCCTCCTCGACTTGGCCAACTTGAGCAGAGTATCAGCTTCGGCCTCATCCAGCGCTTGGTGGATCTTTTGGAGCTCAGCTTCTCTGCGAGCTGCACGCCGCTTCGCCTCAAATCGCACCGAGTCAGCATCCAATGACGCAGCAACATCCTCAAACCGACGGGCAAAGAAGGGTGAGTCCTTGAGACCGAAGTACAGCTGATGAGGAGTGTGGTCACCATAGATGGCACGGGAGTTACAACGTCGCTGAGCTACTGGAAGGAAGAATGGCCAGCGATTCACATTACCTTTGCAGAGACACTTCAACACCTGCTTAAGCACTCCGTGTTGGCGCTCCAGAGACCCATTTCTGTGAGCCGCATAAGGCGGGTTGAAGTTGATCTGGATACCCCAACTAGCAGCCCATGCCTTGAAGGCAACGGATTGGAACGTGGAGGCATTGTCGACCGTGATGGACCGTGGTGGAGGGAGAAGGTTAAATATCCTTTCCTCGATAGCAGCAGTGACAGAGGTGGTGGTTGTTGAGGTCAGTGGTAGAAAGATCACCAACGAGGAGGCAACATCCTGTATGGACAGTATGTGCTTGTAGTGATGGTCGGCGCTCTCGGGTAGAGGTCCCACGGTATCCATGAACCAACGGTCATTGACCTGGAGGGTGCCTCGGAGAGATGACGCAACCGGCTTTATAGGACCACGACGTGCGCGAACAAACTGACAATAGCACGATGACACAACCTTTTGGACAGAGTTCCCTATCCCAGGAACATAGAAGTCCCGAGCAACAGTCCGCAAAGTCTGACGCACACTTGGGTGTCCATGGAAACAGTGTACCCTAGAGATCACCGATTTCCCATACCGAGCCGGTATTACATACTTGTCACCGATCCGTAGTAGGTCATCGTCGTCAACACGGAACTTAGACTTACCTTCTATAACCAGCTTCCTCAAGGTCTGGCATGCCTCATCACCTTCCTGAGCCTTTGCCAACCAGACCCTCGCGTCCGAGGGATTAACAGGGATAGCCGCAACCTCAGCAAAAGGAGTCGATGTTTTCCAAGCAGTGAAAGCTCGTCGAAGGCCGAAGGGTACCACACAGAACGTCAACGGGTCATCGTGGTCCGAGTTGCTGCTACTGCTTGCATTCGCAGCCCTAACTCCAACACCACCACAATCCTCAACACATGAACCGTCCTCATCACCGTCTTCGATCTCTGTACTCGGTGAATCCTCAATGGCACGGGCTAGAGCATCAGCCCACCTAGGAGGTCCATTACGGCGAAGCCACACAAACCGGTGAACATTCCGCTGTAGGTGCTCGAACTTGGTCAGTTGGACGCCATGCAGAGTCTCGGCCGCATCCGCCCAAACCTTCATAGTGTTAGCATTGTCAACAAGGCATACCACCTCCCCCGCTAAGACATCTCGACCTTGCCAAACAGTGTCGAGGACAGCATAGCGCTCTCGATAGGTAGAGCTCCGTCGCTGGTCCGTGGAAGGGAACGGCGCACCAACAAACTTCACCGGTAAAAGGATATACGGGACATCTGAGCTCAGCGTAAACAAGGCAGATGCCGGAGGAAACTCGACCGGAACATGTATCGAGCTCTGTAGGCCGTCAGTCGAAGGCGTCAGGCGAGCCGCTCTGAAGATGATTCCAGCGAATGACTTGGCATTAGCATCGGTCAATACAACAGTGCCCAAAGTATCTTCGGGGTCCAGTAGACCTTGGAAGAGAGGAGTAACACCTTGCTGCAAATACATAGTGCATAGATCCTTGAATGCTGATGATACAGCAATAGCAAAGTCCACGAGTACGGTCGAATCCGAGTTCTCATGGTCAGGTTTCTGATACAACGAAAGTGCTCGCTGAAGCAGGTGCAGAGACTCCATGGATTGGTGGTTCATATGAGACTTGAAACATTGAAAGATGCCACACCAGTGACGAAGCCAGGTAAGGCGAGCTTGCCGGTCTTGAGCCCCTCGCCACTCGCTTAGGGCCAAGTCGATGGTAGCTTGAGAGAATTCTCTCTTAAATCTCGGAACCACGCATCCTTTCCTCAGATCATATCCAAAGAAGGGCACCGACGTACTAGGGCCGTAGGTCTTAGCGTCGTTGACCAAGAAAGTGTACTGAGTGAAACATTCTCTCGCACAAACCAGAGCCTCTGCAGCATGCCGCTGGCAACAAGATGCCAGGATGACATCATCTTTGCAATGGATGACCTTCGCCGGAATGTTGCGCATGCGGAGGCAGTCCTGGATCTTTGAAACCATAAACTCCATCGCCACACCAAACAGCAGACCACTCCATTGCCATCCTTGAGGTAACACTCGATAGGCCCAAAAACAGGGGTTGTTGTTGACATCGTATGATACGACACCGAAGCACCGTTGCAAACTTTCGTCCACTGCTATAGACGAGTATGCGTCACGAAGGTCCAATTTGTAATAAGTCGAGTAACGTGACGGCACCGAACGGAGTCGTCGTAAGGCAGTCAACTCAGATTGGCGATAACTCTTGGTATCGAAGGCAGCAACCGTCTTGAGACCATGGGCGTTCTTAGATGGCAACAGAACGAATGAACCAGCATTATCATAGGCAAGGGATAGAGAGTTGACACTCCTCAGATCCAGCGTTATACGATACCGTTCGTCCACTCTAGGATCGGGATAGCTGCGCAAACTATCGGCTCCATCCTTGTCGACAATGACCACAGGGCATATCATGATCAGATCCCCCTCGCGACAGCGGGATACTTTATTCTCCCGAGCCATCGTCGTGAGTCGATGGTGCACAATACGGTCATCGGTCTCAGAGCGTTTTCTTGGTGGAGATCGAAACGGCATCATAGCAGCTCTGCGAAACATCTCCACATGAGCCGTGAGCTGTCTCCCACCGTCGTCTCGGTCAGACACTGTGATCAGTGGTTCGAGCTGCTTAATGATCTCGGCTTTGGCAATCTTAGCAGCGCAACTACCACCGCGACCTCCCACCGTAGAGTCAAGGTTGTGAACGATAACGTCCTTGTTGGTAGACGTGAGGCCGATCCCCAACTTGGGATACATATTAGCGCCCAAGATGATAGTGTTATCGATACCACGGCAGACAAGGAAGGTGAACTCGATGTTCTTGAGATCCCCACTCGAGGCAGCCACCCGAACAGTGTGAGTTGCAATAACTGTCTCGGAGATGCCACCAACTGAGACCGGCGACTCAAGGACTGTCATGTCCTCATGACGAATAATGCCACGGTCGATGAAGTAATCCACAAGATGATCTCGCATCAGGCTGGCATTTGCTCCCGAATCCAGAAGCGCACGCACATCACAAAAGGCTTGCTGATGATCGAATCCCAGACGGAGTGAAACCTCTGGGAGCTTGGGTAGATCTGCCAGCACAGACTGACCAGCACGTACATCGACACGGGCCGTGCGAGAGGATGAACTTGTCACAGGAAACTGACTGGACAGCTGATCTGCTGCGGTCTGTCTAGACGTCGCCGGAGTCGAACTGGTTCTGGCAATAGGACAGATACTGCTCATATGGCCACTTTGGCCGCACGACGTACAGATGATACGACGTTTAGAGACCTTGCACTGATGAGCTTTGCCATCGACCACACTGAGACCACCACAGACCTTGCATCGCTCGTCGAAACGGTAAATAGACTGGGATGTACACTCCCTGGCATAGTGTCCTTCTTTCCCACAGCGCAGACAACCTCGCTCTGCAATGCCCAGCTGACGGGTGATAGCCGACCGCACATTAGCATAAACGGGGCTGTCGTCAGAGAGCTTGGGCTTCAGGCGAGAATGTTTGTCTTCACGCTTGGGTTTCGAAGACAAGGAAGATGTTATCGGCGCCAGAGTAGATGGAGTCAGTGTCACCACCGCATTTGAAGCACCCGACTGCGATACGGAGCTCAGAAATGCGAGCAAACTGCTCTTGTAACCTTCGTAGCTCATTTTACCAGTCGGATCAATGAGGGAAAGGGCACTCCGTGAGACAGGATCCGTGAAACCGCGACGAAGCATACTCAGTAGATCCATGTCGTGGATGGGGCCATGGTCAGGATGAGTGATCCTACGCAGATGGACCAGCTCTTCGAACCGCTGCACGTAAGCATAGGCCGATTCCCCCGGCTTTTGAGATACGTCGACCCACTCGTTCACCAAGGCTGCTTTCTCCGACACAGTTAAATGTTGGCGATCTAACCTCGCGATGAGCTCCTCCGAAGACGTCACCGGGGACAGCTTCAGCTCGCGTTTGACCTTTGAGCGCTCCGGTTCGGAGATGCAATGGAGTATCGCCGAGATCCGAACACTTTCCAAGGGGTGGTCACCGATCTTGTCGAGAAGCTTCGTACGCCATCGGACATACACACCAGCTGGTTCGTTACCGCTATACATCAGAGAGTCTGGAGGCGTGGCACCAACCAAAAGGTGAACGTCGCGAACCTTCCTCGACCATCTCACAGGGTTCTCAGTGTCGGAGTCACTGGGAGTGGCAGACACGACTGGAGACACCCGTAACGGACTTGTCGACGTCGGAGGAGGAAGCGCACCACCAGAGATGATCGAGATTTTCGGCGCCGGAGTACTGGATGTTTCCTTCTTCGCCGAAGATATCTCATTTTTGATAACTGACCGCCGAGGTACATCGTCAAGGTTGATGATGATGTCATGCCTCGTCTTAACGTCGATGGCTAGGCGGTCCATGTACGCTCTTGCCATCCATGACGCTGTAGGACGATACCACGGTGGGCAAACCCCAATGTAAGCTTCTTCGCCTACGTCAGCCAACTCTTCACGTACCACTTCCCAAAGTGACCTTCCGCACTCTAAGCTAGAAAGCTCGTGGCGGTTTGCGTCCGAGATATCATCGTCGATCACCAATAGAGGTATCTTCTCAGAGATAGTCTTCGGGGTAGCATGGTCGTTGGGTTGTTGGATAACGTCGATGAGCAAAGTCTCGAGTTCGCCTTGGACTTGGTGTAAGCCTTCTCGGATCGAAGCCCCCAATGTTGTAACATACGATGGTTCGACTTCACCAGACCCGTTGGAACCCGACGCAGACATAGCTAGAGAGAATATAATGGGGTTTATAATGCAATACATATTCGACTGAGGGAGAGACGGTTTCACAGCCGTTGCAGCCTAATCTGGCCGGGCGGGCGCTACCGTATGTGACTCACAGTGAAGGTGCATTGTTATCACACCCCTTATTATCGATCATTTGGGCGCGCTCTTCCGGGTTTGTCAAATTCGGGTGGCACGGAGTATTTTGTCAATCTCGCTCGCCGGAACTTGCCCTCTTCGGAACTCTCGACATACTGAGCATGATGACGAGACAGAAGATTGAGGGCCGCTTTGGGGGTCGCGCAGCTTGCTTCACTCGTTCCTTCGTTGTAAAGTCGAAGATCCACTCGTACATTGTGGGCCTTAGTTCGTGTCTGGGCTTTTAAGGAGATGCCGGGGTCGCGATTGTGTTATCTCCAATATGAAGGTCGTTTTCCGCGTTCGGATGAGTGATTTTCCCGATGGTCACGATTAGTTTTCTCATATTAGGAAACTCGCTACCAATGGCAGTCCATTGCCCCTCCTTCACTGTTAACTCGCCTAATGTAGTCTACACTGACACCCACATTGAGGCCTCCTACGACTACCACACTACTGACCTCTCACAGCCTCGTGATGGCCAATGGGTGGTCACTCCCAAGACTATCAAGTACAACTTCAAGACCGACAGGCGAGTACCCAAGCTCGGTGTTATGCTAGTCGGTTGGGGTGGCAACAACGGCACTACTGTTACTGCTGGTATCCTCGCCAACAAGCATGGTGTGACGTGGGAAACTAAAGAGGGTCTTCAGCATCCCAACTACTACGGCTCGGTCACTCAAGCTTCTGTGGTTCGTCTTGGCAACGTGAACGGCAAGGAAGTTTGCACCCCTATGAACAAACTAGTCCCTATGGTAGATCCTAATGATGTTGTTCTTGGTGGTTGGGATATTAGCGGTTTCAATATGTACGCTGCAATGAAGCGGGCTAAGGTTCTGCCAAGTGACTTGCAAAACAAGCTGAAGCCTATGATGAAGGACATGGTTCCTCTACCTGGTATTTATGATCCAGCTTTCATCGCGGCTAACCAAGAGGATCGTGCTGATAACGTGTTGCCCAAGATGATGACCAAACGCGAACAGGTTGACCGTGTTAAGCAGGATATCCGTCAGTTCAAGGAGACCAATGGTTGCGACAAGATCGTCGTTTTGTGGACTGCGAACACGGAGCGCTATGCTGAAATCATCCCGGGTGTCAACACGACCAAGGCTGAGCTCATTGCTTCGGTGGCCAGGAATGAGTCCGAAATTGCACCAAGTACTCTGTACTGCATCGCCTGCCTGGAAGAGGGCGTTCCTTTCGTGAACGGCTCCCCGCAGAACACATACGTGCCCGGTCTCAAGGAGCTAGCTGGGAGCATTCCTGGCGCTGTGATCGCTGGTGATGATTTCAAATCTGGTCAAACTAAGATGAAGTCAGTTCTGGTCGACTTTCTGATCGGTGCAGGACTCAAGCCCACCTCAATTGTTAGTTACAACCATCTTGGCAACAACGACGGCAAGAATCTGTCGGCTCCTCAATGTTTCCGCTCGAAAGAGATTTCCAAGTCTGATGTTGTGAATGACATGGTCAACAGCAACGCCCTATTGTACAGAAAGGGTGAGCATCCGGATCACTGTGTGGTTATCAAGTACGTGCCGGCGGTTGGTGACTCTAAGCGTGCTATGGACGAGTACACTTCGCAGATTTTCATGAATGGTCTCAACACGATTGTCATGCACAATACCTGTGAAGACTCTCTCCTCGCGGCCCCATTGATCATTGACTTGGTCCTCTTGGCTGAGTTGGTTACTCGTATCAAGTTGGCCAAGGACGGAGAAGAGCTACGTGGTATGCATCCTTTCGGCGTGATTCTGAGCTACTTGACGAAAGCCCCATTGGTTCCCGATGGGACTCCATGCATTAATTCGCTGGCGAAACAGCGTGCTATGCTGGAGAATGTATTGAAGGCTTGTGTCGGCCTTCCACCTGATAACAACATGCTGTTAGAGTTCAAGTAGTCGTTCATGCGGCCGATAATGATGCTCATACTAATTTTATCCTTGTCATCGTCATTATCATCAAAGGTAACCATTTGAGTAGTTTCTGATCCGTGTTGGGTTCCGTAGTCTAGCAGTGCGCGAAAATATGCACATAGTCAACTTCATGTGTTGGTGACCATATCTAAAATTCTTATTGTGTTCTGTACACTTCTGGGCGAATTCGTAGGTGAGCTCTTATGAGTAGTTAGGAAACGCCTGCACTCACTGAGGAAGGTGAACATAAGTTCCTACAAAGAGATATCCTCTGAAGGATTCATTTCGATATCCAATCTCGATAATGAGCAACGTGTTTACCTGTACTGAGTGACTTGGTAGCTGGTAGAATCCTTGATGGGAGCTGAATCCTATCAATGCAATGCAAAGGACAGTGCTTATCAGAGCCGTTATCGAGTTAGCTTCTCGTCCGCTTGTTGAAGGTCGCGATGGATACATGGATCTATAACTCCTGTAAGCTCTTGACCATTAGGAAAACAAATACCGATTGGTATGTTCGTGTGAGATGGTATAATGTTCGAACACACTGAACTTCTCTTAAGCCGGAACACAAGGCCCAGCGTTGGTATCTTGTGTTGAGCTTAGTTTGGCTGCGCACTTCTCTGAGGAGGTTATCTTTATTATCATCATCAAACTGTTATCAGTTTGCTATTTTTCATCATAAACTACTACCCACAATGGTGTGCCAACTTGGTATTAACGGTTTCGGTCGTATCGGCCGTCTTGTTTTCCGTGCTGCTATGGAGAACCCCGAAGTGAAGGTCGTTGCTGTGAATGATCCCTTCATGAACATCCCCTATATGAAGTATCTCCTCAAGTATGATTCCGTACACGGTCAGTTCAACGGTACCATCGAGGTCGCTGAAAACGCCCTCATTGTGAACGGTCAGACCATTCAGGTCTTCGCCGAGAGGAACCCGTGCGATATCCCGTGGGGTAAGGCTGGTGCTGAATACGTTTGCGAATCTACTGGTGTCTTCACTACTGGTGAGAAGGCCTCTGGTCATCTCCAAGGAGGCGCTAAGAAGGTCGTCATATCCGCTCCTCCTAAGGATAATACCCCGATGTTTGTGATGGGTGTTAACAACAAGAAGTACACTTCTGATCTCAAGATTGTCTCCAACGCCTCTTGCACTACCAACTGTTTGGCCCCTCTTGCTAAGATTATGAACGATAACTTCGGCATCGTCGAGGGTCTCATGTCAACCATTCATTCCACTACTTCCACTCAGTTGACCGTTGATGGTCCCGCTAAGGGTGGTAAGGATTGGAGAGGAGGTCGTTGCGCCGAAGCCAACATTCATCCCTGCCTCTACCGGTGCCGCTAAGGCCGTCGGTAAGGTTATTCCATGCCTTAACGGTAAG